AGGGGCCGGGGCATGACCAGGGAGGAGGTGGGGAGGCAGAAGGGCCTTTGTATGCTGTCCTAAGGAGTTTGGGCTTAATTAAGGCCAAATCTAGAATCTTAGTGAAAAAAGTATTTTGAAATATAGGCTCAGTAACTATTTGTTAAGCTGTTAAAATAAACATTGAGTTCAGAATCTTATTTTAAGAGATCACGTTGACCTGTGCTTTACAAACAGTGAAACAAAGTGGTAGTATACGCAATTTTTGCATTATTCTGAAAACAGTGTTAAATAAATAGGACATTTTAAAATGCTTTCTCTGTGCTGGGTTTTCTGCTGGGAGTTTCTCCACAGACTCTTGTGTTGTGATCATCTGCCTCATGAGTCTGTTTCTGTTCTGTAAGTAATGGGTTTCTTTTAGAATATTAAAATTTTATTATTTGTGATATCTTGTTTAAAGGCTTCCTTAGAAGAATATTTACTTACTCTTCTATGTGGAAATTGATTGAGAATACTATTAGGCTAAATGTTCATATTTCTGAGGTGAGGAGTCATTAAAAGAAGCACTGTTGCTTTACTTTGAAAGAAGATGAAAGAATACATTTATTGGTAATTTCACTCATTTCTCTTGTTTTGTTTCTGTTTTTTTCCCCATCTGAAAGTGAAACAAGCATAGGTAATAGAAAACCAAAGCAAATGATGCCTATAAACGAAATTTAAACTGTCAGGATCTCTCTGAACAGTCACTGGGTTGAAAATAATAAGTTCAGGTAACATTTGAGTGCTCATAAAGACTGGTTAGGAAACCAGTCTCATTTCCACGCAGGTGAGCCCGTCACAGGAGGGGAGGAGGGCTGAGATGGTGATGGATGGGGCCAAGTGCCTTCTTTCTCCCTGTCGCCCCCTCCGCTCCTCTCTGGGCGTCTCTAGTGTACATCATCTCCTCCAGAATCCAGCTGAATATGCTTTAGGAATGAAAGGCAGGCTCTCCACCTTGTCACTTCTCAGAGAAAATGGGATTGTGTGTTGGTAGTAACAACACCTGTCATACTGAGGCTGGTCTGTGGGGTCACGGCTGGGGGCCTTGGGCTGGTCTTGGTTGTGGTTCATTCTGTAATCTGTTCCTTGTGTTTTCAAGCATAGGAATAGCACGCTGATGGTGTAGGGGACCAAGAGGCTGCCAGGTGGGGCTAGGTCTCCTTTTCTTTGTGTAACAGAACTTTTCCTCTGAAATTTGTTTGGGGTGAGGGGACAGGTGTATTTTTGTAGTTGAGAGTTGAGACGAGAAAGTTTTTGTTGGTGAGTTACTATAACCCTTAGTGTTTGATCTCCTGTTTGTGATGTGCACCCTGGCTGGTGACTGTAAGAATGTGTTCAGTCCCTTTCCCCCAAAGGGACTGTAAAGATAGTAGTGCTTCCTCGAATTCCCACTGCCTTGGGAGTCGAGGTTTTCACAGCCACAGTTTGTTGTTGCTGTATTAGGAGATGCTAAGGCATTTGACCTTGATCGGCCCTCAGGGCCGGATTCCCTTTCCCCGTTTAGAGTTTATGTATACTATGACATGCTGCACCAGTGCTGCGTTGATGGGGTTGTGTTCTGTTGCGGGGTCTAGGGGGCACATTATAGGAGGCTTGTTATCACATTTCGTGGTATATACAGAGGAGGGTTACCAGAATATTGGGAGGTCTTGAAAAACTGTCCTGTGGGGTAGCTGAAGGACACAGCGTCATGTGACTTGAGAAGAGAAGGTTTATTAGGGAGCATGGAAGGCCAGTTTGCTGGAAGAGGATGAGCAGTGGTGCCAAGTGGCAAAACCAGGGCCTGTGGGTGGGATTTCAGCTCAGCACAGTGGAGAGCCGTCCGTCCAACCAGCTAGGGTCAGAGTTCTCTGTCACCGGAAGGGAGGCAGTGTGCCCAGTGGTTAGAGTGTGGTGGTGGTGTGCGCACTGCAGGGTTTGAGTCCCTCTACTCTGCTTGTCTGGCTGTGTGACTTCGGCAGGTTGCTTGATCTTACTGGGCCTCATTATCCTCATCAGCCAGTGGGGTAGTGGTGTCTGCTTCATGCCATTGTTGGGAAAATGCACAGGTTGATACGTGGAAATGCTTATAACAGTACTGGGCAGATAGTAAGCACCGTTACTGCATTCCGTTAAATGACTGTCATCGATGTTCTGGATGGTGCTCTGCGTTCAGGGCCAACTCACCAGATTCTTTGACACCCAGGTGGCCTCCAGCTGATTGACTTTTCTGTTTTGTAAGTTCCCAGGGATTTTGCGTGGTTTCTTTTGCTTTCTTTTTGCAGCAACTGCTGCCCGTTGGGATTGTTGTACACCTGGGGTTGGCTGCAGAGCAGCGCACCCCTTCCCCGGCGCCCCCTGTCTTTGCTGGTGCACAGGCCCCATTGGGGCAGGGCCTTGGTGCTGTGGACATTTGGGCCAGGTACTCCTCTCCTGCGGGGCTGGCCTGTGCACTGCAGGAGCTTTAGCAGTGTGCCTGCGTCTACCCCCGGGATGCCAGGAACACCACCCTCCCCGTCCCTGATAGTCAGAAACCTCTCCAGACATTGCTCAATGCCCTCTGGAGGGTAAAATCGCCTCAGTTGAGAACCGATGCTCTAGGGAGAAGCATGAGGAGATAACCAAGGTTCAGGAACTTACTAGAAATGATTAGTTATTCTTGTTTGTGATTCTTGAATTACTTTCGGGGATCCTTTTTCCTTTCCTCTCCCCCCTTTATTCCAGAGTCAAGTAAATCAAACGTCCTTCACTGTTGGGCTCCTCCATTCACCCACAAACATTTGTCTAGGACCCACGGCTTGCTGTGCACTGGGCCCAGAGATGGGGTTCAAGGAGGGGAGGCAGACGGCGGGGTGTGGGCGGGCCTGCCCTGCTAGGTCCTGTGTGGTGTGGGTGGGCGCCGGGTCCCTGCCAATCTCTAAATGTGAGAGTGCCCGCTCTAGATGCCCGCCCTGGGTCAGGCGCTGCCCGTACGTTACCTTTCTTAATTTCCTCAAAGACCCTGAGGTCTACCTGGCCCTGTTATTTTGCAGATAAGGAAACTGGAGTCCAGAGAGGTGAGGTGATTTGCAGCTTGCTCAAGGTCTCAGCACGAGTGCGTTGTAGGGGCGTGCGAGCCACATTTGGGCCGTCACCCCCGGCTCCAGCAGAGTGGGGCAGGGGTCAGGGGTCAGATGGGGAAGGGCTTGGAATGCCGTGTCGGGAAAACAGGATTTTAGGTCAGTGTTTGTCTTTTTAAAAGCTGGTCTTCTACTGTTTTTCTTGCTCTAACCTCATATTCCTGTCAGGCAGGATGGTTTCACAGAGCCTAGCTTTCTGCAGTGCGTACTACACAGTTCCTTTTAAAAAGACCTGCGTTCCTCCTCCATCCCACTCTGGCAGGGCCCCTCTTCTGCCTGAGAATCTCTGCCAGGGAAGGTGTCGCAGCAGGGTCAGCATGAGGGGTGGTGTGGGATGGGCGTCAGGCTTGGGCCATCCAGGGGCAGCGGAGGCTTTATCAATGGGACATGGCAGCCAGCCAGCTCTCTGCTCTGACCAGGCTTCTCATGCGACCGGTCACCTCAGGCCATGTCCGTGCAGGGGCCTTTCTAACCTGGAGGCTGGAGTTCTTCTGCAGATAGAGCTTAATCTAGAGGGAGAGCCAGAATTGCAGCATGAGAGAAGTGAGAATAATTTGGGAGCACTGATTTAGAAGCAGTAGCTAAGCAGAGTAAAGGGTGCCGTTGTGGCCGGCAGCCTGCCTAGTTAGGAATGTGCAGGAAACGTTAGCAGCTCTGTGCTGTTACCCGACCCCAGACCTGCTGATTCTGTCACATCTGTGTGGACCTCGCACGTGGGGATGGATCCACGGTAGCTGTGGTGTGCAGAAGCCCAGGCAGGAGCCAGACGTGAGCTCTAGACCTGTTACCTGGCCTGGCGCAGGAGAACGTGGCCTTTCTCCTGGGGTGTCCGCTGTCGTGTGTCCGTGTGAAGGGAGGTGCTCACTGGTGGGGAGGCACGAGAGCAGAGGGCAGGACGACAGGCGTGTTCAGAGGGCAGAAGGAGCCGGGTGGGCAGTTATTGTGTGGGCGAGTGAGTTGAGTCCAGGGGTTGTTCCTCCCTCAATCCTAAGGAGTCTGCTGAGTTTACTGGGTCCCCTTCGAGTTTCGGAACCCCAAGGAAAAGGCTTGGGACCGGGGCGGGAGCTGAGCGTGCTTTGGGGGAAGGCCTGGGCCGTATTGTGTTCCGTTCTCCACAGCAGCTGCTGGGAGGTAAATGTCAAAAATGTGAGTGAGTTTACACGGTTTGGCTGTCCCCTCTCTCCCTCGCACGGGTAGAGTACGTTAAGAAAATAGAGAGTTAGAGAGCGTATACTGTCACCTGGGGGTGAGGCCTCTTGGACTTGTGGTCATTTAGTCTCGGTTCAGCTGTAGCCTCTTCAGCGAGGCCTCCTCCATCACCTTCTGTTGTATTGCCCTGTTTTTAAAAATCCAACTTTGAGATACAATTTATATACAATAAAATAAACCCATTTTAAGTGTACAGTTTGAAGAGATTTGACAAATTTGTATATCCATGTAATCACCACCACACCTGAGATACAGAACATAACCGTCACCTGCAGAAGGGCCCTTTTATTCCCAGTGATTATTAAGGCAACATAGCTAACGCTCAAGGTTAGTTTGGCCTTAGCTTTTTATTACAACAAGTCAGTTTGTGCAGTTTGTGCTGGCCTCCTGGTCGCTGTGAAGCTTCTGCATTGTCCAGGGAGCTGCGTTGCTTCGTGTTTTCACTTGGTTACGACTAAGGACAAGCACTGAGAGGAAGAGTTTGTGCCGCAGGAGAGACAGGACAGGGGGCACTTTTCTGATAGCGTTAATTTTGCTTCGATTGTTATCTTTTCGTGTAGGTTGAAGGGTGTTACACGCGATTGGGCAGGTGGGAGTCTTCTCGTGGGCTGGTTACCACAACAGTGTGGGGGGCCGATTTCATCCCGGGAACCCCCTCTGCTTTGTGTCTTCTAGAATGTCGTTCTCTCCGGAGGCTCGACGATGTTCAGGGATTTTGGACGGCGACTCCAGAGAGATCTGAAAAGGGTGGTGGACGCCAGACTGAAGCTCAGTGAGGAGCTCAGCGGGGGCAGGATCAAGGTAGGAGGCTGGGCCGGCCCGGGCGTGGTGGCCTTTCTGTGCCCAAGCTGGCCTGGCGGTCTCTCCTAACTCGAGGCCGAAGGAGCGCAGCTTGGCTGGCAGCGTGAGGTGAGACAAGTCTGAACCACTCTCTCAGCCACGCTGTGAGGTGACGGTCAGGAGTTTATTGCCCGAACTCAGACCTAGTGATGCAGCAGCAGCGGTTGATGCTCTTACCGACGCGCAAATGTTTGCTGGCAGTTTCTTCTGTATTGTGAGAGATCAGGCACGTAGTGTAGTGACTAGTGTCCCAAGGAGACGGATCCGTTTACGGTGAGGATCTTGAATGTCCTTTGGAGATGTTCTCATTAAAGTAAAATAAGTAATGTTAGCGGGGAGTTACAGTGTGTTCCTCCAGGGTAATAATTCTCAACTAGCTGGTGGTCTTTCCTCGGCTCATAAGGGCGATGGGGCTGGGGTAGGGTGAGTGGAGCAGTGTGGTTCTCGCCTGGGGAATCCCACTGCTGGCAAAATGTAATTTCGTATAGTATTTTGGGGACACTTAGTGTTATTTGGCATTGTCTCTACAGTGCTAAAACATCTAATTTGTAGTAAGAAAAAAATCAGTTGGGTTAGTTGCTTAGGCTTTTTACTCTTTCGGGTGCCTTTAGTGTTGTGAACGAGAACCCCCCGTGGCTGCGTGTCTTGTTCTCTGCAGGGCCCAGGGCGGGGACTGGGGGATGGGCAGCAGGAGCGGCTGGGAACCTCCTTTCAGAGGCAGCGTGGCTCATGCTCACAGGGGGTGTGAGTGTGAGGGAGGGAGGGGCTTACTGTAACACCAGGATGGGGCGAGGCCCCTGTGTTCCGGGCGCTCGAGTGGGCTGTCCTCTGTCCGCTGAAAGGGGATGGCAGTGAGCACGCACCTGCACTGTGAGTCACACTTGTTCCTATCTTTCCAGCCCAAGCCCGTGGAGGTTCAGGTGATAACACATCACATGCAGCGCTACGCCGTGTGGTTTGGAGGCTCAATGCTTGCCTCAACCGTAAGTCCTTTTCTAGACGGTTCTAGACTTCCATTTCTGTATTCTCTGTTGTTTGAATAAATGTTGTCTTATGAAGGTTAAATAGTGTGTGTTCTAGTTGTGTATGGCTCTAAATGGTTGCACGTTTCATTCTGTGAGATACAAAGAATATTTTAGTGATCATTTAAATTGCACAGCTAATTAGTATGTATCCTGGCTAATTAGGGGATACAGATAATATGGATAAGTGAAATCCCCAAATAACCTAAAACATGTTCATTAATCAGTGACTTCTCCAAGTAATTATTACTTTTCCCCCTCAAATTTGTGGATAGCTAACGAATTGCTAATTTAGGGCCAGCACATAGTGGGTCCTAAACAAAGGCTGAAAAAATTTTTAAAAAATGAAATAAACTCCTGTTTAGTAGTTCAGTCCCTTGAAGAGGTCAAAATCTTACAACAAAATCTGGGGAAGGAAGGAGTGGACGTTTTGCATGAGGAGAGTCTTATTTGCTTGGTAGTTGATTTGATTTTCTCTCCTTTCTGGAATGTTTCTCTGTTCCTTCTGGTTGTTGCGTCCTTAGCCGGAGTTCTTCCAGGTGTGTCACACCAAGAAGGACTATGAGGAGTATGGCCCCAGCATCTGCCGCCACAACCCTGTCTTTGGAGTCATGTCCTAGTGCTGGCCGTGGCGTCCTCATTCCGGCAGTGTCATGTTGGTGAGCAAGTGTCCTTCAGAACCCGGAGAAGACCGCAGCTCCTGTAGATAGTGGCGTTTGGTGTTGGTGTCGAGAAGCGTGCTTGTGTCGCCGAGTGCATGAGGCACCACCGAGTCAGTTCAATAAAAGCCATTTATGTGCCCACTGTCCGATGCCCGTCCCTTCTTCCCCCTTCTGTGCCCCTGCTCCCTCTCTGCCTCTCCATCTGGGCTTCTAGCTGACAAATATAATTCTGAAGGAATTCAACTGCGACTTTAAAAACTGTTAGGGAAAAAACCCTAGAACATGGCGCAAAATAGATCCCCCAGGAAAGAATATGGGGCTGTAAACCCTTTACCTCCCAGCCTATTTTTGTAAATAAAATGTTATAAACTTGAAATACAAATTGATGTTTATATTTCCTATCATTTTGTATTTTATGGTATTTGGTACAACTGGCTGATCCTAAGCACGAATAGATATTGGTGTCTGGAGTGCTGTAATAACACGTTTTTAGTTGTGAGGCATGTTCTGATATGTTTGTAGGCAAAACAGAGCAAACTTTTTTGCCACGTTTGCTAGAAAATGATTACACTTTACTGGAGTGACATGAAGTTTAAATACTAAACAGTATTGTATGAGAATTATTACAGATAATGTATCTTTTTGTTTTCCTGTTTGAACTTTCTGGAACTGTTTTATAGAAGATGTTGGTTTGCTGTTGGTGAGTGTTGGATGAAATACCACCTTGCACATTGTAATAAAAGCGGTTAGACTGTTTGTATGGACTTCCTGGTGTGGTGTACTGGTCTTTGATTTTCTGCCTTGTGCCCAAACTTCTTTTAAAGAATCTTGAAGTTTATTTCACAGTGGATGATTGGATGATTAATACCAAGTTTGTGGAAGGAAATTTCCTAAAGCGATGTGGACTGCCTATCCTGCAGTGACCACTCCATCATTGGAAGTGGTGTGGATGACCACGTGAGAGAGGTGGGGGGGCAGGGGGTGGGCTGGAAATCCTAATAATTTCCAACGTCTTTCCTAGGAATTCAGAATGCATTACTTTAAGCTTTCAGTAGATTACTGGCTTAAAAGATAATTTGCTAAATTAAGAGATTTAGTTTTAGTCCATTTTTCATATAGTACTTATTTACTTTTTAAACTGTTATATTTATGGTATTTCTTCTAAGTCATAAGTATGTTTTTTTGTTTTTTTTGTGTGTGTGTGTGAGGAAGACTAGTCCTGAGCTAACATCGGATGCCAATCCTCCTCTTGTTTGCTGAGGAAGATTGGCCTTGGGCTAACATCCGTGCCCGTCTTCCTCTACGTTATGTGGGACGCCGCCACAGCATGGCTTGACAAGCGGTGTGTTGGTGCGTGCCTGGGATCCGAACCTGTGATCTCTGGGCTGCCGAAGCAGAGCGTGTGCACTTAACCACTGCGCCACTGCACCGGCCCCCATAAGTATATTTTATTCTCTGAAATTTTGCCTTTGTAAAGAAACATTTGGTTTTATTATTTAAGTTGAGAAACAAGTGTAGGAATAATAACGTAAATTCTCCTCTCAGCATGGTAAAATCTGGGTTCCCATGCTGTAGGTGGTCCCTGGCATTTTCTCCTGATTGTCGGTGACCCGGACCCTCTGTCTCCCCACTGGAGAGTCTCAGGCCACTTGGTTCTTCCTTTGTCCAAACAAACTTCCTCTGCTTTCCCTCTGGGTGTTGCTCTTCTCAGGGTCACTGGACTCTTGGTTTCTCATGATCTTCCAGCCACTGGATGGCAGCAGGTTCTGGCTCCGGTCTGTCTGCCTTCAGGCACAGCCATGCGTCCTGTGCGTGGTACGAGAGTAATCTCTTCCAATACCGCTGTCATCTTCTTCCTGTTCTCTTCAGGAACCACGGTGCCAACCTGCTGCCAGTCTCGGCCTGTGCCTTCTTCCCAGCTGGGCCCTTTGCCTCACCAACCCGAATGTGCTTTATAGTGCGCTGTTTCTCCCTCTGTGCTCTGCGATTCCACTTTGTTCACTTGGTCAGGTGCTTTGTCAGCAGGTGCATTTCCCCCAGACCCCTAGAAGAATGCCTTCCCGTTTGTCAGCCCTGGTAACGGGCTTCACAGGCATCATGCTCACTTCCCGCTTTGGGCAGCTCCTCAAATGACCCTGTGTCAGGAGTCCAGTCTTACCAACTCTGGCCAAGCTGGAGCTAATACAACCCTTTCTTGGACCAGATTGCTTCTAAAACTTCCATTGTCCTTGTTTGGGGCAAGATTATCTTTGAGATTGTACTTACTTTTGTCAACCTACAAGATCTTGATAAGAGCGTTTTGTTTTAAACATAAAAATGTCTGGGACAGAATGACCTGGTAGAATGTGACCGGTATGGTGCAGGGCCTCTCGCCTCTGGTGGGGCCCGTCCCAGATCAAGTGAGTCAGAATGGGGGCAGTGGGTTGGGGACTGGGAGGGCACCTGGTGATCACTTCCTGTTTTTAAACTCCTTGGGTGATGTGAGTCTGTAGCCCGGGGCTGAAAACCCTGGTGAGCAGAAAGGAGGGACTTTGAATGGAGAGATCTGAATCTGAATTCTGCCTGTTCCTCAAGCAAATGATTTCTTAACCTCTGTTTCCTGATCTGAGAATTGCATTGGCCCTATTGCTGTTAGTAGATTGGAGTTATTATAAGTTTCTGTTTTTTCGGTAAAGCTGCCAGATAAGTGTATGTGGAAATGAGCTGTGATTCTGCAGCGTGCATTGGTCACTCCATAAGGAGGAAAAATGCTTAGAGTTATGTTAGTAATTTTAAGAAAATCTGCACATACCTTTTCATCAGATTGATTTAGCACTAGATCATAATATAGTAATGAATTAAGTAGTATTAGAGTTGACAGGTAAATTCAGCCTTCTATGATAAAAATGCCTTACAACTCTCAGTGAACGGTTTTCTATAAAAAACATTTCCACAAATGCACACTTTAACAAACATTCTAAAATTGTAAGTCAATAGCTTTTAGAACTGGTAAACTTTTTAATAGTACAGGAAGTTTGCTTCACCCTATTTAACAGACATAGGCATAAACTCACCTGTAGCCTAAGAATATTATAGGGAGGCTTTCAGTTAAAAAAAAATCTGGTAACTGGTCTGTGAATATTTGCCCGTGTTATCTTTCTAGCAAGATGTGATGGCGAGCTCCGGGTTGCTCTTGACAATGCACCTGTGGGAACAGCTTCTCATTTTTACCTAGGGACTTTTCTCAGCTGCTACTGAGGGCCTCAGCTTCTGTTTTTATTAATTTTCTAGCCAAGACGGGATTAAAGAACATGAGGCTTATGATTTGGTTTCTACATTTGTGGAGGGTAGGGGAAAACAACACAAGTGAGAGAAATTGAAGATGCTGAAGGGGAAGGGTAGATAACTCTTGATCAAGGTCCTTGAGGAGGTGAGAGATGACGTGGTCTAGAGTAGAGGGGGGAAGGGGAGACCCCGAGAGTACCAGGTGCTTGTGGTGGAACAAATCCACACGGTTGTGGAGTTCCCTCCAGTTGAGCTCTGTGTAGCCCAAACGGAAGAGGGAAGGAGGCAGAAGTTGGCCTTCTTGGGGTTGGGGTTTTGTCAGGTAAGTGTGGTGACAGGTCAGGGGTCCTTGGGGTACTCTGTAGATAGGGGGTCTCTGTTCTTGAAGTCTCTATGCAGTCGGGTTAGGGTGGGGAATATAGGGAAAGGAGAGATTGGGAAGAAGGGAGGGATCGGAGAACTGGAGGGCCTGAGCTTCAAGATGGGCAGATGGCGGTCTTAGAGAAGGAAATTAGTGTTTACAATTTCAGAGGTGGAGCGCGTCTCAGTGATGGAAGGATGATTGAAGTATAGAGATTGAATTTGTTTGAAATTAAAGAATTTAGGGAATTTTTGACAAGGGTGTTGGACAGATTGTCCAGTGGTGCTGGCATCATCCAAGTGGGTATGGGGCCTTGGATATGAGAGCAAGACCGTGATGCAGACGCCAAAGTCCTGAGTCAGTGTGGGCAGTGGCCGTAGCTGAGCGCTGACTGTGTGTGGGGAACTGTGCTAAGTGCTGACTCTGTATGCCCTTATTTACTCTTACAACAGCCCTGTGAAATTGGCATTACTCTTATCCCCATTTTCCAGATACGAAACTGTGGGTGAAAGAAATTCAATAACATCCTCAAGATCACACAGCTAGGAAGCAGAGAAGTCATTATTTGGTCTATTCTAGAGTGTTCATTTGGAACCATTCCTGTAGAAGTAGGTAAAGAACAGCATCCGGTGGGAGCTGGGTGGTCAAACCCAATGACACGAGTCTGGAGTGATTTCATAAGAGAGAGGAGCAGAAAGAATGTGGAAATGGCAGGGAGGGGCTGGAAGAAATTCCCCCTCTAATCCCGATTCTTTGGTGTGTTCTAGGAAGCTACTGTTCATGATGCTTTGCCAGTATATGTTTTGTCATATGCACTGACTTTATGTTACAAGGCAAATGAGATAAAAGACAGTTGTTAATCTGAGCACTTAGGGCCATAATGGGCCCATAGTAAGTGTATAATAAATTTTAGTCATTATTATTCTGTTATAAAGCAATCGTGGTGTCCTGAGAGCCCCACTCATCAAAATTGCATTAAAAAGTAGTTTCAGTGGGGGAAAAGAGAAGTTTAGGTTCATGAACTATATGGCCTTTAGGAATTTCAGTAAGAAAAGATTTTTAAAAAGATATTAGTATATAGTTGTAGAATCTAAACATCACTGGGCCTTTTTTTTTAATCATATTGCTGATGTAATTGAATCACTTGTATCATCCATATAACAAAAAAAAGCCACCCTGTGTTGCCTGCACAGCAGCTGCTCCCCAGCTAGCTCCATGCTGTGAGCCGTCCTTTTATAACCAGTGTGAGGATGTCTTCGGTTTTGGTTATGCATGTTCTGTAGGCATGCTTTAGTTGAACACACTGGAATTTTGAAAATTGCTCTTTGGTGTCACTGTGGTATTTTGGCAGCAGGATGGTGGACAGCATCCTGAAGGGATCAGCCTCCGGAAGGCTTCCCTGTCCCGAGTTCTCTCTCAACCCCATCTCCAGCATTACCTCCATGAGAAGCCTTCTCTGACCTCCCCCGTCGAGTCAGCCTCTCCTAACCCAGGCACCAGTTATGCCCTGTGTCCCTCACCAGACTGAGAAAAAAGGGAGGTTATCCTTGTACCCCCGGGACCTTTGAAATACCTGGCACATGGTAGGTGCCCAATAGATATTTATTGAATTAAATTCCTATTCACAATGAAGACTCCACCACTGGTTTTTGTGGGCTGTGCGCTCTATACTGAGAAGCATTGTGTGTTTGGGTAACCTTAGATGAAAGCTCGTTTTTGAATGTCTGGGATGTTAACTATCGTTACTGTAAGACTTTAATGATGTAAAATCTGGCTCTGAAATTGTGACTGCAGTAGGTGTTCCGTATACGTGATGGTGGATGTATTGCTGTAGCACATCTTGTGTGAGTGGGCTTCCCTCCACTCTGGGTACCGTCTGCATGTGATCAACAAGAGAGCCCAGCAGAAGAAATTACCCTGCAGAAATCTTGAAGACGTAAGTATATTTTGTGGTAGTAACAGCCAGTTCATTCTCTAGCTTAGCTCATAGGAATAATGAGCTCTTGTGTGACTGAAGTACCAGTCGTTTTGTGATTAATTCATTCTTTATGATCCCTGCATTCTGTCTCATTTGTAAAAATTATGATTATGCCAAACAGGCTCATGAGGTTAATCAAGTACACAGCTCATTTAAAACCA